TGCCGCCCTGCAGCAGTATATCTGCTATAGGGCGGCGGGAAAGCGGTAAAAGCACCTACTGCTTCAAAATGCTTTGTTGATGTGTTTTTGATACTTCGATGTTGCTTTTGTGAAGCTTTAATGAAGCTTGGCAGATGCCCTGTGTGTGTTGATATCTGATACCTGCAATACCTCCAAAACAAAGCAAAGCCAAAGCTGAAAAAAAGCCTCTCAAAAGCTGCAGTTACTGTAAGCAAGCTTTGTCATAGACTTCTATGGAGGCTTTGAAGACGCATTAAAGCACCACTAAAGCGACATGGGGTATACATTTTTGAAGTGAAGAAAAGCAAAGCAAAGCAAAGAACATGTAAACAGGGCTGTAAGCTAACCATTTTATTTAGTGAAAGGTGCTTTGATTGGTGCTTTAAAAAAGCATGTCTAATGCCATATTTTGAAGCTAGTGTAAACAAGCCCTAAAGTTCCAGGTATTTCATTTTATTGTCACCAAAGAGTGGAAAAGAAAATGTGAGTTTATGCTGAAAGGGAGATGGGTATGTGAACCTTTTTACTTTATCTTTACTTTGTATAGTGCTGCAAAAACTGTTGGCGCTATAGAATTCCTGTAGAACATCTCATCTCAGATACAAAATGTATCCAAGATTCAAAACAGAAAGACTGAACTTTGATACTATTAGCTGGAACAGTCAGTAAAAAGAATGAAAACTCACCCTTTGGAGCAAGTGGACCCGATCCCCCTGTAATGAGACAACATAAGATAAACCCAAGCTTTGTAAATCTTGTTGGGATTTTTTCCATTAAAATAAACAGCAATGACTCGGATGCAGTGGGACATGCTAAATGAGAAATTAACTGTCAAGCTCAAGGGAATAATGCCTAAATTTTGCCAGGTCTGGGAACTGTGGATCACCCACTTCGTGCTAAGGAACTTTGACATTTGTTTACTAGACCTATGAAATTTACAGTATCCTTTATACATGGGAAGAGTAGATTGCATTCCCCCCTAGGCCACTACTCCCTCCTTCTTCCACCTTGATATCACTTACTACCTCCTGCGTCCTACTTTTTTAGCCATCCTTCTATTTCTCTTCATTCCTGCTCGCTACCTTTGAGAACTTTTTAGGGCTGATTTACTAAAACCGGAGAGTGTAAAATCTGGTGCAGCCGTGCATGGTAGCCATTCAGCTTACTTCTTACTTCAGCTTGTTCAATTAAATTAGTTGTAAATCCAAAAAAAACAAATAAAAACTGAAAATTTCATGTAACTAATCAAAACAGCACTTATGTGCCCAGAGTAGGAGAAGGAGAAAGCAGCCTCTCAGCTGGAATCCTCCATGCTCTCAGACTGTAAAAATACCCCGACAACTGCTAAAAAAAAGTTGTCACCATGCCCTTTCTCCTTTGATTGACAGAGAAGAAGAGGAGACTCATGCATGAGCAGAAGTGGTGGGGGCATGTCTGCAGCTGCCTCAGCCTTACTGAGCAAGGAGCAGGAAGAGACCTTAAGCGATTGTAAACCACAGCCTCATCAATAGTAAAATAAACTCCCCTTTTTATATTTCGCTTTATATAAATTAAAATCGCATTATCTGTACCTCACTTTGTCACTCACATTGGCCTGTCACAGCCCTGTGAATGTCACCGGTCTGTGGGTGTGTCCAAAGGCTGGAACTTGGGTGCCGTGACATCACTGAGTCTCCTCCCTCCTGTACACTCCTCGCACGGCTCGGTAATAGATGAGAGCACAGCGGGAGTGCCGCCCGCATCTATTCCCAAACCATGTGGGGAATGTACAGGAGGGAATGGAGTCAATGATGTCACGACTCCTCCTCCCGAGCTTCACCCGTGGACATTCCCACAGACTGGTGATATTCACAGGACTGTGACAGGCCAACGAGAATGACAATGTGAGGTACAGATAATGCAACATAAATTTTTACAAAGCAAAGTATAAAAAGGTGCATTTATTTTACTATTGATGAGGATGGGGTTTACAACCACTGTAAAGTGATTCTAAAGGCTTACATATTTAAAAAAAATAACAAACATGTCAATACTTACCTGCTGTGTGTAGTGGTTTTGCACAGAGCAGCCCGGTTCCTCCTCTTTTTGGGTCCCCCACAAGCGCTCCTGGCCCCTCCCTCGTGTCAGGTGCCCCCACAGCAAGCAGTTTGCTATGGGGCACCCAAGCATGCGCACTCCCTAGCCACTGCGCAGTTTGTCCATTCACACACGGAGCTGCGGCTCGGCCCTGCCCCCTCTCTCTTCTCATTTACTCGCTGGCTGTGATCGGCTATCTCAGCCAATGAGGAGAGGGAGTCCTGGGACAGCTGAGACTCCTGTGCACAACCACTGGATCGAGAGGGGGCTTGAGTGAGTATTAGGAGGGGCTGCTGTACACAAAAGGTTTTTTCGCCTTCATGTATAGAATGCATGAAGGTTAAAAACCTTCATCCTTTACAACCACGTTAAGCTTTGACAAAACCTGGAAGCGGATTGGTTTCTATGCAGAGCTTTACCAAATTTTGCACTCTCCAGTCTTAGTAAATCAACCCCTTTTGAATACAACAATTAATGTGTATGGTAATGATAGACTCACACCTACTTGTCCCTGAGATGTGAATTTTTTATTTTTATTATATCTTTTATTAATTTTTTTTCCATTACAAAAATTCACATTGTATCCATCAATTCAAAAAAACATCAATTCCATGTAAAATTAACCCTGATTCCCCACCCTCATTCCACCCCACCCCCCCTTTCAGTCAGTCCACATTCTAAATTCTTTCAATATCTTCCTTTATTTTTCTGTCTGTATTTATTTCCCATTTCTCATTCATCCTCCCTCTCTTTCCTTCATCTAAGAACCCATAGCTACTCAGTTAAACTCTCCCAACTCTTAGTACCTTAAACTCCTACCGCTTCCCTATATCTTTTTGATGTTTTAAAGTCATACCATCTACTCCACACTTTTCTGAAAATTTCCATTTTATCCTCCTCTATACGATATAAGTACTCCATCCTATTTATATATTCAACTCTCTTTATCCAATCCTTTTATTTTTGGGAGCTCTTGGGCTAACCAGAATTTGGGAATAAGAACTTTGGCCACACTAATTAGGTGATATAATACACTATTTTTATATTGTTTCATGGAAGTCTCGGTATTATAAAATACACAAACCCATGGGTCCTTCTATATGGTAGTCCCCGATATCTCCTGTATATATTGGATTATTTCCTGCCAGAACGTCTGAATTTCAGGAAATTCCCACCATATATGTGCCATTGTTCCCTTATTCCCACACCCTCTCCAGCATAATGGTTGTCTACTCGTTAAGTGCCACACTCGGTGTGATATACCATCTAGCAAAACATTTATAGTTCATTTCAACTGTATTCATACTCATTACCTCTTGAGTTAATTTAAATATCTTGTTTTTTTGTTGCTCGTTCAATTTTGTTCCCAGCTCCTTTTCCCATTTCTCTAAGAATGGAGGAGGCTCAGATCCCTCCAAATCAATAAGGATCTTATAAATCCTGGAGGTAACATGTTTTGGAACTATATTTGAACTCAACATTTTTTCAAATGGATACATTTCCTCCAGCATCCTAAGGGGTTGTGGGAGCACTGCAACAAAATGTCCTAATTGATAGTACCGCCATTCATCTATTGTCTGCCAATCCCTCCACTGGCTTTCGATTGCGCAACGGATCAAATTTAAAATCCTAACACTGACGTACAAAGCTGTCCACCATACTGCCCCGAACTACATCACTGACCTAATATCCAAGTACCGCCCAGCACGCACACTCCGCTCCTCACAAGACCTCCTTCTCTCTAGTTCCCTGGTCTCCTCCTCCCATGCCCTCCTCCAGGACTTCTCCAGGGTGTCACCCATCCTCTGGAACTCCCTGCCCCAACCCATCAGATTATCACCTACTCTCCTCTCCTTTAGGCGCACCCCGAAAACCCATCTCTTCAGGGAAGCCTACCCCACCCCCTGCTAACTTGCCGACCTCCTCCACTCTTCCCACTACTCCATCCCCCACAGCTATCTCCTCCTGTACCACCATCCCCTCCCTCCTAGATTGTAAGCTCGAAAGAGCAGGGCCCTCAATCCCCTCATGTTTTGCATTGTATTGGTATTGTTCTGTCACATGTTCTGTTCCTCTTTGTAATGTACAGCGCTGAGCGAACTATTGGCGCTTTATAAATACTGTATAATAATAATAATAATACTGTTAAAAATAAAACTTTTTTTTTCTTTAAATCTTGAAAAGTGTACAATTTCCCCTTATCTACTATATCTTTTAAACGTGCATTTCTATCTTTAATCCATTTCCCTGAAATATTATCTTTCCCTGGTGGAAAATACTCCGTTCCCACCTGTGCAATTAATACTTATATTTCCAACCCATTTGCCTGTGCAATGCATCCCAAACTCTTAGTACCTTTCGTGTCAAAGTGCTAGTGTTTCCATCTAATATACATATATAATATATGTGGTATCCAAATAATCTTCTCTAATTGTGCCTTACTTAAAATACCTTTCATAATTACCCAACATTTCCCTTGTGAATTATGTGTCCAATCTACGATTCGTGATAGTATCACTGAGTGATAGTATTTCCTAGAATTAGCAGGTTTAGCCTCCCTTTCCCTTTTTGTTTTTTTACACATGACATTGTATTTAATTCTTGGTTTCTTATTTGTCCATATAAACCTAAATATATATATTTTTTTTTATTATCTCAAAGAAGGACCCTGGTATATGCACTGGGAGCATGTGAAACCTACACAAGATATTTGGTACTATCACCACCCTGTGATGTGAAATAAGCATTGTTGTGCATACTGTGTTGTTTGTACATGGTAGTTTGTTCTTACCACCCTCATGCTGCTTTTGTATTTGAAATATTCAATAAACATATTGCACAAGGGAAAAAAAAACAGCAACGTGCCAACAATATGATATAAAGTTATAAACATGCTCTCTTCCTTAAGACATCAAGACTCCTACCTGGAACCAGATGGTCCTCCCGTTGCTGTCTTTCATAGTCTTCATTCCAGTGACAAAATAACATTGCAGCCATGTTCCAAAGGCAGCATAGTCAACTGCATTTTCAGGGTCATATCCTTTACCTCCTAAAAGTAAATACATTCTGTAATTAGTTATTATTGCAGTAATTTATATTACAGATTATTAAAAACATGAGAGGATTTAAAGGACAGTGCAATCAGAAGCTTGCACCACACTTCTAAATATAAAAATAAAACAGATTCTACTTCTAACAAAAAGGGGTGCAAGCCCCTTTGTTAATTAGGAGCAATCAGTTCTCTGTTCTGCCATGTATGTGACAGAGAACAAAAAGCTATTTTCTGTACTTGGATCAAAGAAGAAAGAGGATGGTTTTAACCCAGCAGGTTCTGCTCATGTGGTGTGATCACCGCACGGAAACAGAGGAGGATGTGAGTTGTCTACTGACAGCTCACATCCCCTACAACAAGTCACACCTGTTCTATTAAGAAAACTGGCACATTCCCTCTATGAATTTAGGGCACACCTATGCTAGTTTCTATTTTACTCTGAAACAAGTCTGTTTAATTAATGTGGCACATGCAACTCCAGACACTTTCCTGCACCATTATAAATGATACAGGAAGTATGGTTAATTTCCCAGATTGTCCAACATTTGGCATTTGCTACAGAATCTTTAGCTTCTTTACTCTTGTTATTCAATGCAGCAGCTTATGATCAGGACACACCAGGAATTTATATTTGGATGTAGAAGTACTGTTCTTAGTTACAGCTCTGTAACTAGCTAGATAAGCCCTGCTCACATCAGTGTGTTTTGGGTGCAGTGTGTAAAAAAACCTGCTTACTGCATCCTTAAAGCAGAGCTCCACCCAAAAGGGGAAGTTCCGCTCCTCCGCTCCCCATTAAGGATTGACACCTTTGGGGGGCAGAGGGCAGGTACCCGAATTTGACAGGTACCCGCTCCCACTTCCGGTCCGATCGCGTAGGCGATCGGAAGCGGAAAGGTGTCCTCCCTCCCTCCCTATAGTCTTTTGGGACACGTGACAGGTCCCAAAAGACTACAGGACCATTCATGAAGTGCAGCACTACTCGCAGATGTGCAGTGGGTACCCGGCTATGAAGCCGCAAGCAGTCACAGCCGGGTGCCCACACTGAAGATGCCAGCCTCCTGGAATACAGGACGGCTGGTGAAAAGGGCTGCGGGGGATACACCGTGGCACCGATGGACAGGTAAGTGGCTTTTTTTTTTTAAAAGTCAGCAGCTACAGTTTTTGTAGCTGCTGACTTTTATTTTTTGACAGGGTGAGTAGAACTCCGCTTTAATACACGGTTATCAAAGCAAATTATGTAGAGTTCATTGGTAACTGTTGACCTTTGTTTTCAAATCAAAGTGATGAGAAAATATGAAGGAGCAGGATGGAAATATTCTCTTGAACTAAATATTCTAAATATGAATGTGGTTTTCATTTGATAAATAATGTATCAATTACAGTGAAACTTGCTTAAAACATCAGGGATGTAAAGAACGATTTTTTCTGAATTTCTTTATGAATGAAATGTAACCGTGTATGACCAGCTTTAGCTTTGGGAACCTGGTAATAGCAATGCTCACTAACTGGAACAAGCTGACATGGCAGGAAGTTCTGCTGTGCACTCAGGCTTGCAAAGAGTTTGTGATCTGCAAAGACTGCTTTACCTCCTTATTTCATAAAACCTTACTGTTAATGGACTAGAATGTGATTCTCCTCATACCCAGATCAATGACTTCCAATGGAACTGAGTGGCAAAGCTGCAAAAGGTCTGGATTCTCCTTCTTAATTTTTATTTTCTTGCTGAGTGAAAGGTCACTATTCTGTGGAAACAGGAGAGCGTCAATATCAGGATATACTGTACAACGAAACACAAGTTTATATACCATCAACACCAAGTAAATAATTTTGTTGTTCTCATTTAAAAATCTGAACCAATATTAACCATGATGGTATTAAAAGGTTCTTCTAACCTGATTCTGATGCTTTACAGCCTCCAGAACTTCACGAGCTGGCATGAATGGTGGAATGTGCAACCTGACAAAAAACAAAAAAGCATCACTGAATTCAAAGTACTCACTGACCTGATGACAACCTCAAGGACACAAATGAAATACAGTATATTGCCAAACGTATTGGGACATCCCTCCAAATTATTGGATTCAGGTGTTCCAATCACCTCCATGGCCACAGGTATATACAATCAAGCACCTAGGCATGCAGACTGCTTCTACACACATTTGTGAAAGAATGGGTCGCTCTCAGGAGCTCAGCGAGTCCAAGCGTGGTACCGTGATAGGTTGCCACCTGTGCAATAAGTCCATCCGTGAAATTTCCTTGCTACTAAACATTCCATGGTCAACTGTTGGTGATATTACAGCAAAGAGGAAGCAACTGGGAACAACAAAAACTCAGCCACAAAGTGGTAGGCCACGTAAAATGACAGAGTGGGGTCAGCGCATGCTGAAGCGCACAGTGCACAGAAGTTGCCAACTGTCTGCAGAGTCAATAGCTAAAGACCTCCAAAATTTGTGTGGCCTTCAATTAGCACAACAACAATGCATAGAGAGCTTCATGGAATGGGTTTCCATGGCCGAGCAGCTGCATCCAAGCCTTAGATCACCAAGTGCAATGCAAAGCGTAGGATGCAGTGGTGTAAAGCTGTCACTGGACTCTAGAGCAGTGGAGACGTGTTTTCAGGAGTGGTGAATCATGCTTCTCTGTCTGGCAATCTGATGGACGTGTCTGGGTTTGGCAGTTGCCAGGAGAACAGTACTTGCCTGACTGCATTTTGCCAAGTATAAAGTTTATTGGAGGGGGGATTATGGTGTGGTGTTGTTTTTCAGGGGTTGGGCTTGACCTCTTAGTTCCAGTGAAGGGAACACTTAAAGTGTCAACATACAAGACATTTTGGACAATTTCATGCTCTCACCTTTGTGGGAACAGTTTGGGGATAGCCTCTTCCTGTTCCAACATCACTGTGCACCAGTGCACAAAGCAAGGTCCATAAACACATGGATGAGGGAGTTTGGGGTGGAGGAACTTGACTGGCCTGCACAGAGTCCTGACCTTAACCTGACAGAACACTTTTGGGATGAATTAGAGTGGAGACTGTGAGCCAGGCCTTCTCACCTGACATCAGTGCCTGACCTCACAAATGCATTTCTTTAAGAATGGTCAAACATTCCCATAGACACAATCCTAAACCTTGTGGACAGCCTTCCCAGAAGAGTTGAACCTGTTATAGCTGCAAAGGGTGGGCCAACTCAATATTGAACCCTACAGGCTAAGACTGGGATTCCACTAAAGTTCATGTGCGTGTAAAGGCAGGCCGACCAATACTTTTGGCAATATAGTGTATGTATGTCTTTGCTTTCATTTTACTATACTTTTAAAGCGATACTTAACACACACTGTATATTACACATTTACATTATCCCTTCTATTTCTGTATATGGGAATTTTTTAAATTAAAAAACAACAAAAAAAAAACCAAAACACACATCTAAGTACTTTTTTCATAATCAATATACAGCTGTCACATGACCCGGCTCTTTTCCAGCCTGTCTGCAAGAAAACATAAGCAGGAGGAGCTTCTAGTCCTCTGCTGCTGGTCACATTTTAAAAATAAACATAATTTAAAAAAACATCCTTTGGAATACAGAGAAAAAAATAATATCAATACACGGTTTTAATTTGTCATACAAATATATATTTTAACTAAAATCTTATTTTGTGGAAATAAACTTGGTGTGGGTGGATTTCTGCCAGTCACAAGCTGTGTCATGCCCCTCCAGCTTGTGTCTGAGAATAAGAGGGAGGTGAAGCCTCCATCAATCAAGATGTAACATCCCACCCCCATTGTGTTTAGCTGGTTAGTGGGCATGGAGGAGGAGGAGGGAGGGAGTGTGCTGTCATTTATCACTGTGTATACACCCACATATGTGGCTCTATAGTCACATAGGCTCCTCAGATTTGATAGGGGGGGGAATGCTCAGCATAGAAACACGCTGAAAACTGAGCATGTGCACTAGCTGCCAACAGCTGCTCTACAAAACCGCCAACTGCATTGGGGACATAGATAGAATGGGTAGATAAAAAACAGCAGGGTCAACTAGGTTTTTTGAGGAATACAGAAAACGAATCTCATAGTGACTGAGTGAGTATTAACAGCATGTAATACTGCATTTGAAAGTTTTTTATGATGAAGATTTAGTGACAATAATAATAAAAAAAAAGCTGCTCGTTTTATTAGTGTTCAATCAGTAGTATAGTAAACCTTAAATTGCTTACCGATACAGGATCTCTGCTCGCAAGTAATTGCCAATGCCATTGAAATATTTCTGGTTCAACAAAGCTTCACATATTGGTTTGTCAAACACTTTGTCAGACAAGTTTTTCAAAACGTTTTCCCTGGAGTAAAAATGGCAGAATGTTTAAATGAATTGCACACAGTACATATACACACATATCCATACATTCTGTACTCTAGACATATAGTGTAAGAGATTATTTACAAAAACTGGAGAGTGTAAAATCTGCTGCAGTTTTGCACAGAAACCAATCAGCTTCCGGGTTTATTGTCAAAGCTTAATTGAACAAGCGGAAGTTAGAAGCTGATTGGCTACCATACAGAGCTGCACCAGATTCTGAGTGCTCCAGTAGGTGAGGGTGGGGTAGGCTTCCCTGAAGAGTGTGGGTTTTCAGGGGACAAGGTGACGGATGACAGTCTGTGATGGATATGGGGTAAGTGAGTTTAGGACCTGGAGAAGGTCGGGGTAGGGAGCAAGATTAGAAGAAGGGTCCTGTGGAAGAGCGTGAAAGAGAAACAGTCGGTGAAGTAGTTAGGGGGCTAGTGGTCCAAATACATCAATGCATGGGTGAAGTATACTCATTTAGGGACTCCAGCATTGACTTCCATGACTTTTACATGATAGCATGTCAATGAACGTGCTGAGAATTTGCTTTGTTTGTACAAACTTTCATCTGAAATTCTACTAGTGTATGGCCAGCTTTATTCTTTACAGTCTGTGTGCCTTTGTTGCGTTATGAACTGGCAGCAGTTCTGTGTATTAGGCTACTTTCATACTGATCAGCAATTTTTTTTTTCCTTCTGCTTTTGCATTAAAAAAAGCGGAAGAAAAAACTGTGACTGTGTATACCTATGGAACTCTTCACACTGATACATTTTGAGTCCAGTGCTGCTTTTTTTAAAAATCTTGCTTGCTGCATTTTTCATGCAAGTTGCTGTGCAAAAAAACAAAAAACGCACCAACAATGTACCTCCCTACTGAAATCAATGGAATACGTGGCAAAGACACATAAAAAAAGCACCAAGTAGCGTTCTTATGATGCACATGTTCTGTAAAAAATGCTGTGCGTTTTTGCCACTTTTATATATAGATCAGTGTGAAAGTAGCCTTACTCTGGTGGTAGTTCTGCCCCAGCACCTTATAGCCTCATGCACACTGACGGTCTGGTCCACATGTGTCAACTTCCTGGCACTTTCAGGAACCCGGGAGGCACAGGTTCAGAACCTATGAGAGGCTTAAATATGTGGCAGCTGGACGTTGTACTTCGTGGTATTCATGTTTAGGGCTGTATGTGTTCAAGTGTGTTCTGGGCATACCTACGGCCCTAAAAGTAAGTTCTGGTCTTTAGAGTCCAGCCATCACACATTTCAGCCTGTCATTGATTTTGACCAGCTGCTGGCAGTGGGCCTGAATGATGCACCCATACCTCCTGGACATCAGAAAGTGCCAGGATTTGACATACATGAATCAAATGGCCAAGGTGCACGAGGCCTTACCAATAGCAATTGTAATTACACAGAAGAAATAGTTCCGCACATAACTCACAGACTTTCTGAATTCTGCAGTTCTTCCTTTATATTTACCTGAACTTTTCATACTCCGTCATCACACAAGGGCCACGCTCTGGCTGCCACGACCCATTGAATTCCCAGCTTCCAAAGCGGCGTGGGTCTACAAAGCTGAGAACGCGTTTTGGGGAATCTTTGGTGTAGAAGCGCAGGTGAGCATGTTTGGGAAGGTTATCCACTGCAGTGAATTTAAAGCTTCCTGACATGCCAAACCTGAAAACGACAGAGGCAGCATCATTCTTATCTGACGTTGGGGTGAGGATCAGTTTGACCTCCTTGCCTCTGGACACAGCACTGATGGTGTACTTTGGGCTGCAGAACGGCACTTCTGGATTTTTACTGATGGCAGACTTTTCCACCTTGCCTGTAAAGTGTAGCCCATCACAAACCCTATTTACAAAGAGACCGGAAAGGCGGAGCTCAGGACCTTCTGGCATCTCTGAAACGACACGAAAAGTTACAAAAATGTGGGGCTAGAACAAATAGAAAACAGACAAATCATTTAGGCTCACATACAGTTGTGTTCAAAATAATAGCAGTCAGACATCACTAACCTGATCAATCACTGTTTTTGGTAGAAATTATATTTCTACATGGCAAATAATTTACTAGCAGGTGTAGTAGAGTAATAGAAATCCAACAGACCCAACAGTCATGACATGCATGCTGCTGATTCTGTGTAATTGAATCACTCATTGAAAGGGGCATGTTCAAAATAACAGCAGTGTGGAGTTCTATTAGTGAGGTCATTCATTCTTTGAAAAACAGGTGGCAATTATTGCCCTTATTTAAGGAAGGAAGGCAGCAAATGTTGTACATGCTGGTTACAGTGCATTTCTCTCTGAAATTCTGAGGAAAATGGGTCGTTCCAGACATTGTTCAGAAGAACAGCGTACCTTGATTAAAAAGTTGATTGGAGAGGGGAAAACATATAAAGAAGTGCAGAAAATGATAGGCTGCTCAGCTAAAATGATCGCAAATGCTTTAAAATGGCAACCAAAACCTGAAAGATGTGGAATAAAGAGAAAAACTACCATTCAAATGGATAGAAGAATAGCCAAAATGGCAAGGACTCAGCCAACAATCAGCTCCAGGAAGATCAAAGAAGGTCTAAAGTTACCTGTGAGTACTGTTACAATTAGAAGACGCCTATGTGAAGCCAAGCTATCTGCAAGAAGCCCCCGCAAAGTCCCACTGTTGAAAAAAAGACATGTGCTGAAGAGGTTACAATTTGCCAAAGAGCACATTGACTGGCCTAAAGAGAAATGACGCAACATTTTGTGGACTGATGAAAGTAAGATTGTTCTTTTTGGGTCTAGTGGCCGGAGACAGTTTGTCAGACGACCCCCAAACACTGAATTCAAGCCACAGTACACTGTGAAGACACTGAAGCATGGTTGCACAAGCATCATGATATGGGGCTGTTTCTCATACTACGGTGTTGGGCCTATTTATCGCATACCAGGGATCATGGATCAGTTTGAATACATCAGAATACTTGAAGAGGTCATGCTGCCTTATGCTGAAGAGGAAATGCCCTTGAAATGGGTGTTCCAACAAAACAACGACCCCAAACACACCAGTAAACGTGCAACATCTTGATTCCAGACCAACAAGATTGATGTTATGGAGTGGCCAGCCCAATCCCTGGATCTTAATCTAATAGAAAACTTGTGGGGTGACATCAAAAATGCAGTTTCTGAGGCAAAACCAAGAAATAGAGAAGAACTGTGGAATGTAGTCCAATCATCCTGGGCTGGAATACCTGTTCACAGGTGCCAGAAGTTGGTTGACTCCATGCAACACAGATGTACAGCAGTTCTTAGAAACAGTGCTTATACAACTAAATATTCATTAAGTGATTCAAAGGAAAGCAAAATCTTCAAACATTTTTCAGTTTATATAGTGAATGTTTGAGTTTGTAAAGAAGAATACAAAACACTGCTATTTTTTTGAACAGTCTAATATTCACTTTTCTTCAATTTTTTTAGAGGAACAACACAAATTTGATATATTTTTCTTCATGTTTTGATTTGGAATAGAATGTGTAGTGTTCCCAATGCATTTGTGTGTATGGAAATAAAAGCTATTAGAAGGATTTAGAGCAGTGGTTCTTAACCTGGGTTTGATCGAACCCCAGGGGTTCGGTGAGTCAGTCTCGCGGGTTCGGTGGAGGTGAAGACCCACACCCGACTCATATGATTCGTGATGACATGCCCCGCTTGTCCATCATTGGCTGCAGGTGGTCACGCAACATCGCTTAGCCCAGTGGTCGGCAAGCCGCGGCTCGCGAGCCACATGCGGCTCTTTACACGCTTTAATGCGGCTCTTGTGTGCCGGGCGCCCGCTCCCCTCCCTCCTCTCGGGCGGCAGGGACTCTGCAGCGTGATCCAAAAAAAAAAAAAAACAGCCAGGGCAGCGCGCTCAAATGCAATGATTGGCCAGTCTCGCTGCCACTCACATCCCGATAGCCAGTGATTGGCTGTCAGGATGTGTGTAGGTGGGGCAGCGTGACGAACGTGAGAGGAGCTAGGCTCATCTCACAGTCCGCCCTGAAGACCGTAATGGCGCGGGAATAAGGCGAGAGGAACGCGCGGAGCAAAGGTAAGTGAATTGACACTAGGGGGACTTGGCTTACTACTTGCTACTTACTTACTACTACTATATAAGGGATGAATTAATATGGGGGATGAATTACTATAGGGGGGATGAATTACTATATGGGGGATGAATTACTATATGGGGGATGAATTGCTATGGGGGATGAATTACTATATGGGGGATGAATTACTATATGGGGGATGAATTACTATATGGGGGATGAATTACTATATGGGGGATGATTACTATTATGAATTACTATGGGGGATGAATTACTATATGGGGGATGAATTACTATATGGGGGATGAATTACTATATGGGGGATGAATTACTATGGGGATGAATTACTATATGGGGGATGAATTACTATATGGGGGATGAATTACTATGGGGGATGAATTTTCATACCGTTTGTTACAACATATCTTTGCAAGCAATCCTTTTCGAGGATGCTGGACATAAAGACGAAGAAAAGGAACAGACTTTGTTGCGAAAATGACATGAGAGTGGCACTTGCCAAGGTAATGCCACGCATTTCTGAACTGGCCTCTGAAAGACAACAGCAGAAGTCACACTGATTTGCGGTAAATATTCATTATTTTGTTTTTGTGTGAAAATCGTGTTTTAATGGTTTTGTTCTTTGTTCTTAATGGTTTTGTTCATTTTGTGCACCTATGTATAACTATATACCTATGTTTTGAATTTTAAAAATCATATTTTATTTTTCCAATTAAGAAGGGTTCGGTGAATGCGCATATGAAACTGGTGGGGTTCAGTACCTCCAAAAAGGTTAAGAACCACTGATTTAGAGCTTTATTCACTTTTTTCAACACACTGCTATTATTTTGAACACAACTGTATATATATATTGCGGTATGCTAGTACAAGGGGATAAAGCATGCAGTGAGGAAGGGAAATAACACCGCCTCACCACCTGTCAAATGCTCTCTGAAAAGCAATCTGAACGTAGGTCACTCTTCAGAAAGCAACGCTACCATTAACTACCCCTACATGGGTTTCACTATTTTTATTACTGAAATGGAAACCCTTTCATGTAAATATATCCCTCTATAGCTACAAAGATGATATATCCACTTTGTGTGCGCCAAATGCCTTTGTATTATTATTATTATTATACAGGATTTATATAGCACCAACAGTTTGCGCAGCACTTTACAATATAAGGGAGACAGTACAATTACAATAAATTTCAGTACAGAAGGAATAGGAAGGCCCTGCTCGAGGAGCTTACAATCTAAAAAGGTAGAACCAGTTATCACCTTGTAAAAGTAGCAGTGACATTATCACTGTACTATACATTGTCTATGCAGAGAGTTGAGCTGTGGGAGGGAGCCAGCAGGTTCCACCTTCTACAGGCTGCCTGCAGAAAACTACAGGAGGGGGCGGAGACAAGACCACTCACCCTGCACAAGTAGAGAAAGCAGCAGTGACTGGTCTTTATCAAAGGAATCCCCTGCAGAGTAGGCAAACTTACACACTGGATTACTGGAAGAAATACACAAAGCACACAAAGACTCAAATAAGAAAAATTAAATGCATCTTGTATTTATAGAATATTAGCTTATTCCAGAGTTCAGATATAAAGTAGAACTAATGGCGAAATTGTCTTTTTTCATTTTAGAGTAAGGGAGGTTTATACCCCTGTCAAGGTTTTTTGCCATCTGTGTCCCATTGGGGAGATTTCCCTACACTTCCTGTCCTATAGCCAAAACATTAAAGTGGAGTTCCAGTCACGCTGTCAAAAAATAAAAGTCAGCAGCTACAAAATCTGTAGCTGCTGACTTTAAAAAAACAGCCACTTACCTGTCCCTTGGTTCCGCGGTGTCCCCCCCAGCCCATTTCACCAGCCGTCCTGTATTCCAGGAGGCCGGCATCTTCAGTGTGGGCACCCGGCTGTGACAGCTTGCGGCTTCACAGCCGGGTACCCACTGCGCATGCGCGAGTAGTGCTGCGCTTCATGACTTGTCCTATAGTCTTCTGGGACCTGTTGTGTCCCAAGAGACTACATCGCAGGAGGACACCTTCCGCTTCCAATTGCCTAGGCGATCGGACTGGAAGTGGAAGAGGGTACCTGTCAAATTCAGGTACCCGTCCTCCAAAGGTGCCAATCCTTAATGGTGAGTGGGGGAGCAGTCCTTAAAGCGGAACTTCCCCTTCTGGGTGGAGCTCCGCTTTAAGTATAAGGAAATTCCTCCAAAGCTGGGGAATGCCTGGTTGTCACCTACAAAAACCCCAAAAACTTGCCTTTAGTTACAATACTGCTGCATAAAATTGTGTTAAGGCAGTCTGATTGCCACTGTTGGAATGTACACTTGACTCGGCAATACATGGATGGATCACATTTCTTTTTATTTGAATGTCCTTACTGGATGTTTAATAAAAACACGACACCCCAAATATGACAGAGAAAATAAATTACTCCAATCTCATTGAGTGTCCCTGGTCACCCTGGACAGCACAATACATACTGGGATCACTTTATGTTTAATAAAATCCCCCCCCCCACCTCAAATACTTCACCCCACTAAAAGTCAGCCATGCACCTGTAACATCTTACCTGATCGGCTAGAAGCAGCAAGACAGACTTACAGGAAGCCAAGACGGTTAGCGTGTCTAATACAGCAGGAGCGTAACGTCACTGGTTTCTGCAATTAAAAATAAATTACAATGTAATATATAATCCAGGGTGGGTTTGATTGAAATCACTAGTGAAAAGGCTGGATTTAAATCATAATTTTTAAAGAGCAACTGTCATCTCTGTCCCGCAGCGGCTCCTCCTCTGTCCCGCTGTTGACTCATCAACAGTCCCATTCACTTTAATGGGACGGCTGGTGATGCGGCAGGGACACAACAAGGTGAGGGACATGACAGCAGTAGACGAGTGGATGCCTACTAACAGGCGCTGCCATGATGGATCTAAAATGACAGGTGCTCTTTAAATGTAAGGAATCAGACTCATTCTTGCTGGTAGTTAGAATCTTTAATATATGTATAGCAAATGAAGGTTTCCTTTTTAGAATAATAAGCTGTCAGGTTACTAAAACAGCGATATTAGAACCGATTTTCGGTTAATCACACATAGCAGAACTACTCAAATTCTTTTATTTCATGTTTATTCTCATGGTTACTGTGAAATTGTGTGAATGCATCAATGCAGTGCATGTTATCTCTGCTTGCAGAGCTTGGATTCATTGAATTACTACCTTTTGTACCACTAGCCCCTCCTTCCTAGATTGTAAGCTCCAAGGAGCAGGGCCCTCCTAACCCTCTTGTATTGAACTGTATAGTTGCTGTATTGTCTCCCATTATATTGTAAAGTGCTGAGCGAACTATTGGCGCTATATAAATCCTGTATAATAATAATGAGTTTACCAAAAGTGTAAATATTGCAGAATATACAGCCTCATGCTACATAACTAAGCTCCATTGCATGCTGAATAAACTAAATTATTCATGTATCCTAAATAGAGAACAATTTTTACTCCAAAAGCATTTTATTAAAATAAATTTGATAAAAATAACAAAATCTAATTTAACCACCTCCCGCTCGCCATATAATCCAATGACGGGCACAAGGTGGTTCTCTCGTTCTGGGAGGACGTCATATAAAGTCCTCCCATTCTCACCACGCATGCGCGGCTCCCGGAGCGTGGCGATCGGTGGTGCGCTGTGTCCCTCGGACACAGCAGATCACCGATCCACGGAAGGAGCCAAAAATGTCGGCTCGGTCATGTGATCAGCTTTGTCCAAATCACATGTAAACAGGGAAATGCTGGTTATCGGCATTTCTCTCCTCACGAGCTGTCACGTTGACAGCTCGTGAGGAGAGGAGAGCCAGTAATCGGCATTCCTCGGAGGGGACATCTACACTGATCATCAGGGCACGGATGATCAGTGTGCCCTGATAATCTGTGTAGCCCCAGAAGTGCCACCTGTCAGTGTCCATCAGTGTCAGCTCTCAGTGCTCATCCATGCCACCTGCCAGTGCCCATCAGTGCCACATTTCAATGCCCATCAGTGCCACATCAATGCCACATATCAGTGCCCATCTGAGCTGCCTTTCAGTGTCACCCATCAGTGCCAGTCAGTGCCACCTATCAATGCCAATCAGTGCCACCTATCAGTGCTGCCAGTGCCGCCTATCAGTGCCAGTCAGTGCCGCCTAACAGTGCCAGTCAGTGTCCATCAGTCCATCAGTGCCAGTCAGTGCCACCTATTAGTGCCCTCATCAGTGCCACCTATCATTGTCCATCAGTGCAGCCTATCAGTGCCCATCACTGCAGCCTCATTAGCGCACATCAGTGAAAGAGAAAAATCACTTATTTACAAAATTTTATAACAAAAACTAAGAAAGGTTTGTTTAAGAAAAAATAAAAAACCCAGAGGTGATTAAATACCACCAAAATAAAGTTCTGTCAAAAAAAAAAATAATAAAAATTTCATATGGGTACAGTGTTGCATGACCGCGCAATTGTCATTCAAAGTGTGACAGCGCTGAAAGCTGGAAATTGGCCTGGACATGAAGGGGTAAGTGCCCTGTAGGTTAGCGGTTAAATAAAAAAAAATCAGATTTTTTTATTTTATTTTTTTTAAATCATTGATTTTTATCCACCCTGATATAATAACAACAGTTCAAAAAGATATAAAAATGGTGGACAGCGTGCCATACAATCACTATATTTAATATTGTCCATTGTGGTATGTGGTAGGGTGTTAGCGGCTGTATTTAGAGATTGACATTCTGAGCGCGGGAGGACTATATGGATATAACCATATAACCTACTTTCTGTGCGTTTTGGATGCAGAAAAAAAAACCTGAAACGCATGTGGTGTGAATTGACCCAAACAGCACTACCCCAGGTTCACACCTACGCGTTTTCCACAGTGTTATGCAGAAACGCACTACAGTCCATTTAACATGACTTCCTATGGGACACGTTCACATCTCTGCATTTTCACCCGGTGCGTTTTCTGGAAAGGTTCAGGGACTTTTTGGTTTGATAAACTTCGATGCAAACACCGCAGAAAAGCATGTAGTGCATTTTTAATCTGCCTATGAAGAAAAAACCCAGCAAAACACATAAAAACAAAGCAAAACGCAAGTGCAAAAACAAGGTTTTTATGGTGCAGATGAGGAGCAGCCTATGGGGAGTATTGGGACCCCAGCCCTCAGTACACAGACATGTGATCAGGGAGATCTCCCTCTGTATTACATCACTACAATGACTACACTACCAGCCCAGCCATGTGCAGCACACTGCCTCCTCCTTGTTGTGGTCATGCAGGGTGCAGACATCTCCCCCCCCCATACATCACTGTCCAACCCTGGAGCTCCAACACACAACCACTCACCAGATCTGGCCCGATCTCTGCGATCTCCCCTCCTATCATCACCATCCAAAACCTTCACAAATCTTACATAACAAACTCTTCCCTGCTGTCATCCCCCGCGCCTTCTATTGGCTGATCAGACAGAGGGGCGTGTCGCCCAGCTGCTGTGCATGCTGGGAGTTGTAGTCAGTAACATTTACAGTCCATTCCTATCAGATGTACAGATATAGACGATCATCCGTCTTCTCCGATCCCTTCACCCTGCCTATGTGATCGGATGATGTCGGATCTGTTTGGTCATATTGTGTTTTGGTGCTGTGATGATGTGTGCCTCTGTACTGTCTGCTGGAAACTGGGAAATACTTGTCAAAATAAAATCTGATTTAAAAATCAATAGAGCTTAAAATAAGTCGAGCAATAATAATAAGGCTCCATACAGGGGTGACTGACAACTCATCCAGGGGTGGACTGACAACTCATCCAGGGGTGGACTGACAACTCATCCAGGGGCGGACTGACAACTCATCCAGGGGCGGACTGACAACTCATCCAGGGGCGGACTGACAACTTATGGGGCCCCCGGGTAATAAGGGATAATGGGGCCCCTGTGTCCTTGGCCAAATTCAAAAAAGCCTATGGAGAAGGTACCAGGGGCATCTCATGGGGCCCCCTACTGACCCTGGGCTCTCGGGCAGTGCCCGAGTTTCCAATTGGTCGGCCCGCCCCTGGCTCCATGTAAACGGACGTTTGGAAAACTCTTCTGAACAATGGAAACTGACGGCTGGGTAACGTAGGTTAAAAAACATCTATTTAGCCGCGTTGGCATACCGCGTTTGCATTTAGAAGCGTTTTTTAAAGATAACCTCAGGAGACCTTCCCAAATGCCCAGAATGCACTGAAATATAGTAAAAATTAACTATTTCCGACATTTTGAGATAGAGCAGAAGCAGAGAGAGCAGTATGTGTTGAGATGAGCTGTCTTTTCTGGTTGTATTTACTGTGGATCCCATCATGAACATAATGCGGCACGTTCTACCATTTTTTTCTTCACGCGAAACCGGGAACTGACTGCGCTGGTGTACTGGGTCCATTTAAATACATGGAAAACGCTTTGCATGCATTTCTGAGGAGGAAAAGAGGCTCTGGATAGCATCTGGATATGGAACAGTTAAAAAACGCTTGTAAACGCAAACGCTTATAAACGTGGTTAGCTGCGTTTACACACATTTACAAGCATTTGGCGTTTGAATTGCTGATAAAATCTACTCCTGAACACAAGTTTTCTGTGTTCAAAAAAATGACTGTAAACTCAACTGCCTGTGAACGACGATGTGTACATGGACACATAGAAAAACAAAGGAGAGTTCAGGGGCTGCTGAAAAAAAAGCAGAAATGCTCCTGAACGTGAGTTTATCAGCTGCAGTGTACATGAACCTTAATAATAATAATGAGTTATCAAGTGGCTTAGATTTGGGGCTCATTCACATGATCTCTGTTGAACTGGTCAGGTCTGGATAGATCAACACAGCCTCAATGCAAAGACATGTAGGAAACAATTGTTTTCTATGTGCCCTGTTCACACCACGATGCTGCCTTGAGGTTAGCTGCGGTACCCCCTTCCTGACCAGGCTTTTATGTGTGATTCGGAGGTGCATTACTTTGATAATTGCGCGATCATGCAACGCTGAATGAAATTTGTGTAATTGTTTCACACAAATGGAGATTTCCTTTGGTGGTATTTGATCACCTCTGCCGGTTTTTTTCTTTGCGCTATAAACAAAAAAAGACCATCAATTTTGAAAAAAAAAAACAATATTTTTGACTTTTTGTTATAAAACATATCTTCCCCACAATGCTGGGCAAGGGTTGTGGGGGTCTGCGTGCCAGGGGCTTATCGGAATCTGGAAGCCCCCTTTAATAAGGGGGCCCCCAGATCCCACTCCCCCATGTGAATGATTAGGAGTACATGGTACCCCTAATCATTCACCAAAAGAGTGTAAGAAGTGAAAAAAAAAACACCAGTTTTTGACAACTCCTTTATTAAAAAATAAATGTCTGTGAAGTAGATCCAACGTCAATCACAATGACCGCCACTGCCAACCCGAAAAAAAACAAACAAAAAAATAGCGTTCCCGCTGTCTGCCGACTCTGCCGTCTGACAGTTTCTTAAATAACACGGGGGCGGGGCCACATGATGATGTCATAAACTGATACATCCAAATATCCAAATAACCAAAAATTGATTCTACATTTTTGATGCATTTAAAAAAATATATATATACAGTATGTTGTGTAAGGTACTATATTCAGATGTTTCATTACTTTTAATAAGAGACAATGATTTTCTTATTCTCCAGAAATAATCCATACACATCCGCTACCTAATGGCCCTGCAATCTATTTTTCATGAAATCATTTCTGACTTTTTTTCCTGCCTCCCTGTAACGTCCTCTGTAAGTTCCCAAGCCACACCTTTTCCCCCTCACTTCCGTTTGTTTGGAACAAGTAGTGCACATTAATTGCAGTTATGTGGGGGCACTGCTCTATACACACTACATATCCCATAGTCTTCAGGCAATCTTGGGAGACAGCAAGAAAAGGTGGCCACATTCCTACATACAGGGGCACCAGAGAGAAGGATTGTAGCCACCCTCTAACAGGAAGTCACATCCAAGCAGCAAAAAAGAATGTGGAGATCTGCAGGAGCCTGAGAGCAATAGAAGTTAGTAGTGCACCGAAATGAAAATTCTGGACAAAAACTGAAAATACAGGATGCACTTGGCTGAAAACCAAAACCGAAATGGACAGTTTTAAAACAATCTTTTATACATATTTGTATTATTTTCAACTTTTTAATTCATATCATAAATTTAAATGAATATGAATTTAAAAAATACAATCCAGTAACATAAAATAATTTTTATTGAAAGCAACACACAAAAAATTGAACAGAAAATAAAATGAAATTTATATAAAATTAAAAAACTTAAATAGAGGCTTTTTGCATTCAGTCGTCAATAGGGGGCATTTTTGCATTGAAGTCAAAGGGACGCAATTTTGCAGTGAAGTCAAAGGGACGCAATTTTGCAGTGAAGTCAATGGGATGCAATTTTGCAGTGACGTCAATAGGGTCGCGGTTTTGCATTGAAGTCAGTGGGACGTAGTTTTGCATTGAAGTCAGTTACTATCAACCTTTTTTTTTTTTTTAATTGGCAAAACAGCAATAACCCTATTTTCGGCCGATAATTTTCATTGGCCGATCTATCAGTGCATCACTAGAAGTTACATACTGTACATGAATATAATTGTTTGTCTGCTTTTTAAACCAGAATTTAGTGTCACTTTAGGGATTATCATAGTGTAATAGTAAAGGGTTCATGGATCTGAAGTGTATGCTACTTCTGTTTATAGGGTACGTTCTCCTTACACGCATTTCCCAAAAATGTCCCTTTGAACCATAATGTCCCCAATATATTACAATGTTTTGCTCAATGTTCCCCAAACAAATGCGCACCTATTCAGCTGCTGATACCATTGTCCTCCCCAATCCATCCTACAGAAGGCAGGACGCACCACAGCCAAATGGGGTTTTCAAATGTGAGTACCGCAGCCATGAGACTCACAGTTGTAATGCAACCCCATTCCCTTGGATGGGTCATGTTTGATGGTAGTACTGCCCACCAAATCAACAGGTGGTATAATTTTTGAAGCAGCATGTACACTGTGCTCCATCTTCCCACTGTGATTGGTTAAAGTGGTATTTAAGTCTAACGTCTACCTACAGGTAGGCCTATAATAAGACTTACCTGTATGTACTGTAAATATCTCCTAAATGAGCACCATTTAGGAGATATTTATGGGTGTAGCGTGCCAGCGATGCACTATGAAGGAACGGCATGCCCA